TGCAAGAACTTGACAATAACAAGGTGTTGAATTGGGGATTTTTTGTTAGGAAATTTTTGATGGGGGCTGTTGCTGGGTGCAACAATCTTTTTCTGGATGCAAGTGACAAATATTGAACCTGGGTTATCCTTACCTTGTATTTGATTTTTATTTTTCCACTCTCATTGCATCTGCAGAGAAGTGACCAGTGACACTAGTCAAGATGACCCAATTCTTCCTGGATAAGAAGAGTCAGAGATAACATAGGATTGTGAATGAGAGAGCCTTGGAGGAAGCAGATTATGGAATTGCCCTTGAAAAGCATTTAGCAATAACAATGGTCCAAAATATAAGGGTGACAGCAATTTGGGCTGTTCTGTGATTTACGGGTGAAACATTTTTGTTTTGCAGATTGCACTGGCTCTTAGTAGGCTTCTAGGAAAAATTCAAAACTGGGTATAATCTATAACAGTGTTAGCTAACCTTTTCAGGACCGAGTGCCCAAAGCGTGCGCCCAAACCCCCGAAATGCAATGCGCGCATGCACCCCACACATGCGCCCCCCCGTGCATGTGCGCACCCCCCCATACCCTGCCCCCCCGGTGCATGAGTGGCAAAGACCCAAAGACCAGTTGGCTGGTGGAAGGCGCACATGTATGCGCGGCGGAGCTGAACTGGGGTGACGGCTCGCGTGCTGACAGGGCGCTGCGTGCCACCTCTGGCACATGTTCCATAGGTTTGCCATTACGGATCTATAAAATCCTACATGGCACAGGATTAGATTACTTACAGAAACTTCTGTCTTCAATTGTCTCTGCCCAACTCACCAAGACGGATAGAGTTGGCATGCTCCAAGTCTTTTCTATTAAATGGTATCATTTTGTGGGAATTAAGAATTGTCCCTTCCCTGTGAAAATGGCTCTGATCCTGTTGGCTTTTTGTAAAGCGTTAAAAGCTCGTGATGTTCCCATAGGGTTTTGGACTGGGGTAACTCCCATTTTCTAATTGTTGCTGTCTCAGTGCTTCAAGATAGAATAGTTTTTTGACCCCAGGCAGGTGTTATTGTAAGGTTTTTATAATTGACTTTAGAAATTGTGTTATTGTTTCTGGTTTTAATTTTACTGGAATATTTTGCCCAAAATGAGATAATTTTAAATTATTTTTTGAAGGATTTTTTAATATAAAAATAACTGTTTTGCCTCTAATGCAGTTCTGAACTTCAAAATATATTTGGAATGTTAAGCATTTTGAAATCTTTTATCATTAATTGCAATCTCCAAAATAACTTGTTTTCTTAATATACAGTATTCATATTATGCATTTAGGATGAGAATTCATGGTTTAATTAGGAGATGGATTTAATTAGAGGAACCTTGGTGGTTGGAATGCAATATTGCAGGCAAACTCCGTGTATAACTTGGAGTTTGATTCTGTTGGGACTCAAGGTTGACTCAGCTTTCCATCCTTCTGAGGTCGGTAAAATGAGGATCCAGCTTGTTGAGGGCAATATGCTGACATTGTAAACCGCCGAGAGGATTCTGTAAAGCACTGTGGGGTAGTATATAAACCCTAGGTGATATTGCAATTTCTATTGTTAAATGATCACCAGAAAGAATTTTGTAACATTAGTGTATGGAGGAAACTGTGATGAGAAAACAATGATGGAATGATGGAATATATAGTATGACCCCTGGCCTTTTGAGTCTACATTGCATTGTCAGAAATCAGAACGTCAGACATGGTTTGTGCTGTAGTGTTCTGATACCTATTTCATGTTTTTCTATCCCCCTTCCCTTGTAGATACTCATGCTTCCTAACAGTGGAACTAATTGCCTAATGAGATGTTCAGTACCTATTACCAAATGTCAATAAAGACTGATCTGTCTTTCATTTAAGTTTTTAAAATCAAATTCTTGTATTAAGCTTGTAATATATTAAATTGGATCCACTAGGTTGTGTAGCTTCCAAGTATAGCATCCAAGTACATAATTCAGTGGTTTGATATAAATACAGGTAGTCCTCGATTTATGATTGTAATTAAGACTGAGAATTATGGTTATAAGTTGTGGCGGGCCCCGATTTTACGACCTTTTTTGCAGCAGTTGTTAAGCTAATGCAGTGGTCAAGCAAATGTTTCAGCTGTTAAGCTGAATTCACTGTGGCCTGGTTTTTCTGGAAAATGGAATTAAATGCTGGTTTCTGGCAAATGCTAGTAAATTGAGGTCACATGATCACAGGGTTCTGCAAAAAGCTGTAAATACAGACTGGTTGCTGAGCACCCAAAATGTGATCACATGTTCACAGAGTGGTGCAGTGTTGAAACTTCAAAACCAAATCATAAATCTCTTTTGCAGGGGAGTCCATCATAACTTTGAATGGTCACTAAGCAACTTGTCATAAATTAAGGGCTACCTGTATTGTGTTTGTTTGGCTTATTTTATGATGCAAGTAAGGATATCAAGACGTGATCAGATTTGTTTATTTGTTGTTTTGGGGAGTAAGAAAAGATTGTTTCCAAAAGTCTTTACTGATCAGTAATATACAGATTTTGGGGAATCATTTCACAGCTGATGTCTTCGGAATAAAACTCATCAGCATCCAGATAACATGATTTAGCACTACTTGTTGGGCATCATAAGAGGTTTTCATATTAGTCAGACTGATGAAGAAATACTTTCTTGAATTTCTGAATGGAGAGTTTAATTTCTTCAGTTAACTGAGTGACAAGCAAGTTTTGAAGAAATAGGCAACTTCTTGACAATCTTGACAAGTTTCCAGCAAGATTTCTAGTGACCAAGTGATCACTGTAAGAGCAAAGCATTTTTGGTGCTTTTTTTTTTGGCTGGAAGAGGGTTAGTCTCAGGAAGATAAATTGTTCCCTATTCCTCATCTGAGATCTTAAAAAAATAGTTCAAATTTTCCTGTTGAAATTTAGTGCAAAAATAAGATAATTTCAATGGTGTGGTTTCAGGCAGTTTTGCAGGAAGTTGGGATTTTTAAGAGAGATTTGCGGATCTCCCATATCTAACTAAAATCATTCTTGCTGGATTTTGTTTCTTAAAGGGAAATTAAAAATAACATATAATAGTCCTCGACTTATAACCACAATTGGGACTGGAACTTCTATCAGTAACCAGTTTGGCTGTTAAATGAATTACCTCCAATTTTATGACTTTTGTTGTTTCAGCTGTTAAGCAGATCACTTTGATCATTAAGCAGTCATGAAGTTTTAAATTAATCTGGTTTTCCCCATTCAATTTGTTTATCAGAAGCCCCCTAGGATGATTGCAAATGGTGATCATGTGACCCTGTGAACCATTGTAAATACATGCCAGTTGCCAAGTGTCTGAACTTTGAACACATGATTGTGGGATGCTGCAATGGTTTTAGACATGTACTGAAGTTATTTTGTGAGGACTGGTTGTAAGTCACTTTTATCAGCACCATTGTAACTTCAAACAGTCACTAAGTAAATGCTCACCAATATCCATCACAGTGATGTTGAAATATAGATAAAGGCAACTTGTTAAAAGTATAGGTATTAAGAACCATAGTTTATTGATGAAATGGGTGACAAAACTAATGATTTTTATTTTGGCCAGGCTAATTTTATTCACACCATGCTATCCTGATGCTAGATAAAAAATTTTTGTTGTTATTGTTGTTATTCAAAAGATTTATTGCTCAAACTTGCACTCAAGACTCTAGCCAACTATAGTTGAGTACTAAATTGGTGCCAGTTAAGGGTCAATGGAATTCAAGAGAGGTTGGGCTTGGACCATTTGTGGCAACATAATGACTCTAAGATGATCATACAATTAATCTGCCCCGTAGCTCTGCTTGCTCTTCTACATCGTTTCACATTTTTTATAAACTATTCTATGTATTATTTTTTGGGGGAAATTGCCACATTGGGAGGGCCTCTGCACATCTTCGTGTTGTGCACCAATTGTCTTCTTTCCTGGATCAGGTGGCTCACAGTCATTTATGCCCTCCAAATTGGACTACTGTAATGTAATGTACATGGGGGTGCCTTTGAAGAATACCTGGAAGCTTCAATTACTGCAGAATGCAATGGCACAGGCAGTTTATGTGTACTTCTAGAAACCTCTGCTCCGCAAGCTACATTGACTGCCAATCTGCTTTTGGGTCCAATTCAAGATGCTGGTTTTAACTTTTAAAGTCCTTCATGAAATAGGACCTTGTATCTGAGGAAGTGCCTTTAGGTCAGCGGTCACCAACATTTGTTCCCTGTGAATGGCAGGCAAGTACGTGAGAGTGTGCGCAGCTCCATTTGTGCGAGCAGCAGGAAAGGGAGTTTTGCATGCAAGTACAAGTGGCTACTGCTTGCATGAGAGGAGCTTCACGTGCAAGTGCAAGCATCCACCGCTTGCATGGCCAGGTTCTGCACAGGCCTGGTGGTTGGGGACCCCTGCATTAAGTGATTACATCAGCCAACCCCATTCAATCTGACGGAGAAGACATACTACCAATACTATCTTCAAGGGTGTTACATTTGATGGGTACCAGGAGGCAGGCCTTCTTTGTATGACATTTGCCTTAAGGAACATTCTTCTCAACCCCCTGAAGTCATATTAACTCCATCTCTGCTATCTTGGAAGTTTCTTAACACTTTGTTATATTATCAAGCTTGGGGGTCTCAGCAAGCTGAAAACTTTTTGAGACAATCTCCACCATGATTGATATTTTGTTCATTCTGTGTGGTTTGCATAATTTAAAGTTTTTATAATATTTTCTTTTTCAATGATTTTCAATGATTTTGTAAATATTTTTATGATTGCTTTATGTATCTGTAATTTTATTCGATTGCTGTATGCTGTCCAGAATCATTTTTAGTGAAATGGGCGGCTGTATAACTGTGATAAATAAATAGGTTGAGTATGAAGCACTGGGACATCAGAAGAGTTAATTTTTGTTTATTTACACTTTCAGGCTGCTTTAAAATATTGGAAAGTCAGAAGAATAAAGGAATTCTAAAAGTAATACTGCAAAATATTCTTTAATCTGAAGGCTCAGTAGAGCCATCATGAGCGATGTTACAATTGTGAAAGAAGGCTGGGTTCAAAAAAGAGGTAAGTATTAATTGAAATATATATCATAGAAAACATAGATATTAATTCTCATAATTAAGTATATATTCTCACTACATATGGGGTAGTGTATTATATATTATACCTTAGGTTCTTTAATGTTATATCTTGCTATGTGTTAATATAAATAGTCTATAACTGACTATTTAGTATCATCATTTTTGATAAGCCCATTAATATGTAGACCAGTATAGGTATTCTGCTGCTGGTATAAGTGATCTAAAAATTATGAACCAGCAATTTCAAATTTTAAATAAATTAGAATATAGGAGAAAATGTTTATAGAGGATGAAGAAGAATCCATAATATACATTTTATAATTATTGTAAAAGTTATTTTATTTATCCCTTGATTAAATAGTATCTTGTCTATTATCAATTTTCCAACTAGGCATTTGACTCCAACTAGGCATTTGACTTCAACTTCAAATAAACTATAGGCTAGAGTGGCATATAATATATAGGTTTAATGTTTGTTATATAATGCATGTATCTTGATAATATCAAAATAGTATGAAGAGTTATGTTAGAACAAAATGTTAATTCCTATTAATCTATTTCTTATAAAATTAACCAATAATGCTTTTCGTCTAGTTTTTAAAATGATTTTAATAAGTGACAAAATCAAATATAATTATACTATAGCTATGTATTATAATTATGTAATACATAAAAATACATGGAGAATTTCCAGATTCAAATTTATCTTAAATCACCCTCTTAGAAGACATTAGAGAAAATAAAAGTTAAAAAAGGATAATTTTTAATTTTGATATTAAGAAAAGAAAGTCAAAGTTTAAATCTGGAATTCATCTATGCCCCAAATAAGACTAATGAAAGATTTTATGAAAAATTCTAATAGAAATTGCAGATGGGGAGTACATGAATGAAATGCTGGATCTGAATTTAGATAAATTCACTTCTCAAAGAGAAAAATGGAGGAAAACTCCCCAAAGGGTTTTTCAATACATTGACATTCTTGCTTTGATGAATGCTTGGAGACTACAAAACCTGAAGGAAGGGGCTATATATTCTTTTCTGTAAGACATAGTAGATATTCAATAATTGATATCTGCTGGGTTTCTAAGGCTCATATCATTTATTAAGGAACTGGAAATTCTCAAATCCAATTTTGAGAAGAAAAATTACTTTTCAAATAGAGGGTGAATAACAGTCTGTAAAGAAGTCATATTCCAGAAATATAAAAAACCAAAATGTTTCTTCAACATAAATACAACATCAGGAATATCAGAGACAACAATATTGGAGATATGTAAAACTAATATGAGAGGAAGTCTTATAATGTTTGCATCAATGTAATAGATGAAAATCACAAAGGAAAGAGGGGGGGAATAAAAGAATTAGAAAATTTCATGAAACTAATCTAAAACAGGTATTGAGAGAACTAAATAGAGTTAAACAACAATTAATGGAAATAGAAGAGCTCCAAAAGAAGATATATCAAACATTCTCATGATGAGAATGCAACATAATTGAAGATTAAGGGCCATTTAGTTTGTTTTTGGGGAAAATGGACACAGTATCACAACTGAGATCCACACCCAGTAGCCAGTGCTGGATGCTGAATTTTCTCCAGATAAAGGAGGAAGCATGAAATCAACCCCTCTGATCTCCAGATGGCTGTTTCCCATGAGTTAACGGCAAAAATGGAAATTTGTGCAGTTTACTTACTAGTTGATTGGCTGGAAGAAGTGGAGAGTCTATCTAGGTTCACTGCTGTGGTGCAGCCAATGTGGACACAACCACATTTGGATATAATTATTTTTTAGCCTGAGAAAGACTTGTTTTACAACAGATAAATATTTATCTTGTTGGTTTTCCTTTTTTGGATTGGATAATAATTTAAAAGAAGAATTAAAGATTTAAATATGTGGAGTAGTTGGTGAAAAGTTCAGTAAGGAATGAGAAGAAAGTTAAAAACTGATGAAGGGGAAGTTTACTTTATAAAAAGATTAATTTTTATGAAACTACATTGCAAAAATCCTAACTGAATTAACATTCAAACTTTCCATGGGAACGCATTTGCTATATATTAAACATATTAAACAAAAAATTAAAGTACCGTATTTTCCGGCGTATAAGACGACTTTTTAACACATGAAAATCTTCTCAAAAGTCAGGGGTCGTCTTATATGCCGGGTGTCGTTCTCCTGTAACCAGGCAGACCAGCCCGAAAGGCTCTGACGAGCCTTAAATGGCTCTGGCGATCCAAGCTCTGACGATCCCAGCTTTGCCTGCTAATCAGGCAATTCAGCTGGGATTGCCAGAGCCATGGAGAAGGGAAAAACTTTTCCCCCTCTAGCTTGCTTACCTTAGCTCAGTGGTTGGGGGTCAAACAACCCTTTCACAGGGGTTTTGCAGGTGGTGCAATACAGAAAAACGAGCGCAGCCTTCGCCATCCGGAATGAATGGTGCTGTTGTGGCGGTGGGGGAGGGGGCGGCAGAAGCGGGAAGAAGCGGTGTTTGCGATGGCTGGAAGCTGTGGGAGTGAAGCACTACTTTCATTTGTACGGCAGCAGCATTCCGCCTTGGTATATTTGTGTCAGGAGTGGCGCAAGGCAGCCTTTGTTTCCTGCTGCCTGGGACTCAGAGTGGTAAATGGTGTCTGATCCGGAGAGCTGCTGGATTTTGCTCTCTAATCCGGATGCCAGATCGGCCCCCTGAAAACTCTCGTCTCTCAAGGAGCGCTCCCTGAAGCGGGGTTGGAAACTTTGGTTGGACTGCTTGAGAAAGGAGAGCTTGCAGGGGGGCGATCTGGTGTCTGCAATGGAGAGCAGCATCCAGCTTTTTCTCTCCGCTGTAAGAGTGCTGTAAGAGCGGCAGCCCTCATCTCCTAATGCTTGGGACTCGGAGCGGTAAATGGTGACTGGTCCAGGGAGCAGCTGGGAGCAGTCGGCCAAACAATGTCGACTGGCGGCCCCTAGGGGGAGAGCCTTCTCTGTGGGGGCACCTACGATCTGGAACGAGCTCCCCCCGGAGATACGGAGGATCCCGGATCTGCGCACCTTCCGCCGCGCGCTTAAAACATTTTTATTTCATCAAGCTGGCCTGGCCTAAATCTTCTCCCTTTTAAAATTTTTAAATTTAAATTTTAAACACTAATTTTAATTTGTTTAATTATGGGATATTTTTAAAATTTTAAAATTGAGCCAGATTGTTTAATCTGTTTTAATCTATTTTAAATTTTGTATTCCTGTGTTTTATCTTTTGGCTGTTCACCGCCCTGAGTCCTTCGGGAGAAGGGCGGTATAGAAATCTAATAAAATAAATAAATAAATAAATATTTGTGCAGCTTTCTGAGATTTAGTGTGTTTCTGTAGTGTTTCACTCTAACTACACAAACACACAAAATCTCACAAAGCTGTATGTGGAATTTTGTGTGTGTAAAGTGTGAAAGTTGGGTTTTTGGGCTTTTTGTGGCTGTGTGAAGTTCCTGCTTGTTGCAGGGGCCATTTTGGGTCTAGCACAGCTGCTTTTACATTGTGGATGAGCCAGTTGTGTTGTGTTGTGTTGTGTTGTGTTGTGGGTGTGTAAAGCGTGAAAGTTGTTTTTTGGGGCTTTTTGTGGCTGTGTGAGATTCCTGCTTGTTTCAGGGGCCATTTTGGGTCTAGCACAGCTGCTTTTACATTGTGGGTGAGCCAGTTGATGTTTTTTTAATTTTTATTTGGTGTGCGTTGGAAGAGGGGTAGTCTTATACGGCGAGTATAGCCCAAACCCTATATTTTAACAGGAAAATTTGGGGGTCGTCTTATACGCCCAGTCGTCTTATACGCCGAAAATACGGTACCCTGAGTAGATTGAATATTTGGTTGTAGCCATGGACACACATGTGCATGCCTGCAATTACAGTTTTAAAAACTAGAGAAAGTTTGTGTTTATCTTATCTTCTGTTTAACAGTTTGGTTTCAAATAATGATGTATAAGGTAGGAAGAATAGAGGGTAGAAGAGGTTCCTTAGAACAATTGTTAGAGAAGGAAGATAAAGTGATAAAGCAATTTCTTTAAGGTTTACTACACATAGTGTTTGATGAATTGGGATCTAAATTGACTCAGTCACTTGAAACCCTATTCAGTCTTTGAAAAAAAAAACACAGATGGAAGACTTGATAAGATGAAAGGTGGAAAATTCTGTCAAACAAATGTCTGGAGATATAAAATAAGTTAAGGATAAGATGGACATTTTAAAAAGTAAATGGAGAATTGGAGAGAAAAATGAATAGTGTGGCTGCGAACTCAGAAGAGATTCAGTTTGATATTTAAAGCTATCCCATGGAGCTCAGATGAAAACATAGAGGAAAAATTATACCAGCATTGACCAGTTTTTTGGACTGGGAAGATGAGGATATTGAGGCAAGAGAGATTCATAAGGTACATGTATCTAATAAACACACATTTTTCCAGTAAGGTGCCTCGAGACTCCAGGCATGGGATGACTCTTGTAAGCTCTATAGACTGAGTTTAAACTGAAGACATGCCCTCTGCTCACGGTCCCCAGTTTAGACTCAGTCTAAAGCTCGACTAGACATGGGAGAGTGAGCTCTGAGAGCAGATTAGAATTAGGCTGATTTTGCAAGTTTTTTCTGGATAGTTGCTGAAAGAGAGAGGAATCCTCAAAGAATTACAGCATGAAGAGCCCTAGGCTTGAGCCTGCTGTCAACTAAGAAGCTGAAAGAGCAGGACAATGGAGGTCAGAAAAAGACCAGTAACTGCAGGCATCATTTTGGGGGGATAGCCTGAAGGGCCATTGGCTTGAGCCCGCTACCCCGAAACAAGAGGAAAGCCTCGAAGGAGCTGCTGGCTGGACTGCGAGGATCGCAGCGCCAGTGTCGCTTCGTCGCTGGAGAGAGAGGTTTGACTTTAGTGCGTTAGTAAGGTTAGTAGAGTGCAGTCAAGCAGGCCTACCAGGCGTGGCTCCAAACACATACCCTCCAGATCTAAGAGTGGGGTCAAGGGAGCTGCAGC